GGGGGGGGGATTTGAGAGATTATCAACAACATAAACATTTGCTCATTAAACCCTTCCCCAAATCTGAATCCATGTGACGTGAAACAAATGGTGGAGTTGTACAATTGTCCGGAAGCTCACTCAGCTCTTAGCTACCATGCGCTCACTGATTCCAAAGCTTCACACCTCATCTTCCCATCTCAAGTCAAAGCGCAAATTGGCGCCTGGCCACTCAGAAACCAGAGCTCGAAAATCCGATGTGGCCACTCTAACACGCGCCGCGGGGAAGGCCCTTGAACATGGGCGATGACCTCGTGGGGTTTGGGGGGAGGGGGGGTTGCTTTAGGGATTGTGTTGAGCAGGGAGCTTGACATAGGTTAAACCTTACCGACACAGCAGGAAACTTATTCAATGTTTAACGAGAACATACCATTTCACAATCATATGCCGCATTTGACGTTTGAATGGGCGTGGAGCCTTCGACTGTGAGCTGTTCCCTGTCGAGCTGAGCAAGATTGACACCACTTCTGACGGGAAGATGCGCATGGGCCGAGATCGACACCGAGAACTTCAGAAGGGTGGACAAAAGTTTGCAGTGGGGACTAATTATATTCCCGCTCGCACTAGATGAACTGTAATTCCTCATCTCTTTATTTGTTGTTTGACATTGGTATCGATTACAGCCCTGAGCTTGATGCGAGAATTCATGACTGCGTCTGTAATATGCATGTTCCCTAGGTATAATTTTCTCCATCAACGGCCGCTCATCGCTTTCGCGTCCCTGATGACCTCCTCCTCTCATACCAGAAGTGGAGTTGGGGAGTTGGTGAGATGGTGCCGAATATTTCCCTTCACACGATACATTTCCTTTTGGACAATCGCCTTGCCGTTTCCGTGTCATTCGATATCTCATGTCATGCTTTCATCCCATCCGGAAAATGTCCACTCATGCCCCCCTATAACCAGGTATCCCCGCGCTTCTCACCTCCCCTGCCCATCACTCGACTCAGCAATCCTTTCCTCGGTTGTGTGTCTCCCTTCCTCAGCGAAGAAAGCTTGACCGGGACCACGAACGGATCGAGATCGATGCCCACGTTCGCTCGCCCGTCGTCGCCGACGTACCGTCCGAAACTGAATGTCGCGGCCTGTAGGCTCTCGGGCCCGTCGTACTCACGTACCGCCCTGCTCGGCGCTACGTAGGCCAGGATGGAGCCAATGGTCGTCGGCATGCGTGGGAGGAAGTGCTTGATAGAGAAGCCGTAGAGCGCTGCGGCGACGAGGATGTTGATGCCGAGCACAACGAGGCTGATGGTGAACGCGGTCGCGTCCATGAAGATGCGCGTCTCGGTCTTGCGCTGGACGCCCGTGATGGTGATGGGCTCCTGGTACTCGTCAAAGAGAAAGTGGTTCAGGCCCAGCATGAGGACGTAGAGCTGTCGGTATACTCGTTCGACGGTCGGTGCGAGGGCGGTCGCGTTCGGGAAGACGTTGGGGTCGAGGACGTGGCTGTCGGGGTCGGAGATCTTTATCAGGTAGTTGAACCAGTCCAAGGACAGGCTGTCGTTGTGCCATGCCAAATGGTCCTTGAAGAAGATCTTATTGAGCAAAACCGCAATCGCATCGGTGTGGTTGGTGGACAGGGGGTAATCCAGAGTCGGCGATGGCTCCGATGCCAAGACGGAGTGGTAAACGTGACCTTCGCGATCTACCGTGACGTCAAACAATGCTGTCGTGAAGGTCGGCTCGCAAACGACAAAAGTAGATTCCATCTGTCCATCCTCCTTGTTCGTGATGTTCGGGGCCCTTCCCCAACCCATGCTGAACGCGACATTGCAGGGAACTAGACTGTAGCTGTCGCCAAACATCCTAACGTCTTCAGCTGCGCATTCTCCATCCAACGCTGGGTGTATTGTGCTATTGAAGTCGAACGAGTAAGCCTGGTGAGTGGTGGGACAGTCAGGAACAGCTTCACCGTTTCTGATGTACGTGTAGTTGATAACGGGTGCTTTGACTGTTGATTCGAAAGTGCCTATGGAGGAGCAGGACGGGTTCAAGCCGAACCCTCTTGTTCTCGCCGTATAGCTGTCGCTCGTACCTTTTCCCCCGGGGCCAAGAGTAAACGGCTGGAAGAAGTAGTCATGGGTAATCCAGGCGGGTAGAGGTGTACCTTGCGAGATGTTGTTCATTGTAATGTAGAAGGGCACCGCGTAAGCTGCGACGCTGCTAGCAAAGAGCCTGCTCGTCTCACTGGAGTAAATTGACGTGTTGTTCAGCTGCGGCCTAAGAGTTTGCTGAAAATCCTGTGTGCTCTCGATTACCACTGGAAACTCGTTGAAGAGACCACCGAGGCCGACAGCGAGCAGGTTCGAAAGGAGAGCCAAGACACAGATCGCCATGAGCATGAAGTGGCCAGACTTTGCTGCGCGCCACAAGGCCAGCTGAGGAGGCACAGAGGTGTACCTTGCGTTGATGGATCCGCCTGCAGTCTTTCGACCGGTCCATAAATCTCGGAACGGCTGAATGATGCAAAGGAGTCGGTTAACAAGCACCCAAAAGGGCTCGAGAAACGTCGCAAAAATCGTCGGGACGTAATTTTCCAAGATTTGGAGGACCTCAAAGTTTGTCGTCGGCCGAATGAGCCCTGCTCTAGAGTCAGAGTATTCTTCTAAGGAGGGAGTTACCAAACGGACCTCGGTTCCTTTTCTCCTCCAACTTCAGATAGACGAGCGCAACGACTGCGCTAATCATGGTCACTATCACGGCCAAACCAACTCCGCGCCTAAGTGCCAAGGGTTTCACCGGTGAGTAGTGACCAACCGAGAAAGGGGCTTCGGGCTGGGTGAGACTGATGCGTTGACCTTCAGTAGGCTCATCTCTGACGTCGACGACCTTGATAACCATCTGTCTCGTGCGGCTCTGACAGCCACACAACAGCTTGAACCTCTGGTCTCTGAAAGCCTTCTTGAGTGTGTCTTCGGATACAGCCCCCTTTCCAGCAAATCGATCGAGAAGAACCGTACTGTTCTGGCAAAGGCTGATTAGTGATCCCAGTGAAGCTGGGTCCATGGTCAACCTGCTCTCAGCTCGGAAACTATGCCACCAAATGAGGAAAGTGAAAATTCCAACGAGAACTAGGAAGCCTTCGACGATGGCGGAAAACAGGCGGCTGACGATGATGCCATGAAGCACAAACTCGACACTTCCTTCACTTGTGACTGTTAAGGTGTCATTGGCCAGAACACGTCGAAGCGCGAGGGAAAACAGCATCTTGTGTGTCGTGTTGTATGCATCTCCCATGACAGCCTCGTTTTTGAACGATTCCAATGGTGTCCTATTCTGAGCAGCGATGGCGAACCCTACCATCGGTGACATGGGCCAGCTGATGCCTAAGTCCTCGACTTGTTGATAATGCTCGAGCAGGATACCTTGAAAAGGATACTCCCGCCTCGCCGTCCCCTCCACTGATGAGACTCCGACTCCCAGAAGATGCTCAAAAGCAGTGAAGTTGAATTCCGTCCCTGGTAGGCGTTCACGCGGACCAATAGATATCAAGGAGCCTTCTATCGGGGCCTGGTCGGCTGAAGACACAGTGACGTTGACCTGCTGTTTGAAGTAGCTCGTCTCGCAGAAAGCTGACGCTATCTTGATCTCTTTTGAGGTTGCATTGTACCGCGACCACATGGACAAGAATTGGTGACCGGCCGCGCTTGGAGGGCAAGTATCGTCCCTCTCCAGATAGTAATCAGCCCATGCACTGTTCTGGTAGCCAACATAGAGCATTTTGTATGGCATTGTGTCGCTAGTGTAGCCGTAAACATCGATGTCGCTGGCATTGCAACCTCGACCGTTGCTGAAATCGTAGGTCTTTTTCAACTCGGAGCCATGATGTGAGATGTCGCCTGGCCAGCACTCTAGCTGGGTCCAAAACTTGGTCGTACTACCTGTCCAATTGGTCGTAGGTGTATGCTCCCGCTCCGTGTCAGCTGCGAAAGGTAAGAGGGTATACTCAGGTGCTGTGAAAGGCGGTAGGGACTGATTCAACCAAGTGATGGCATAGCCTTCATTGAGGAGAGACTGATCCAGGATGAATGGTTGCTCTGAAGATGGAATTGTCTTCTCAGATGTCGTGGTGTTGATCAGTCTCTGGACATCGACAGGTCCTGTTCCAAGTATGGCACTCTGCAACGGGGTAATCAGCCAAAAGATGATGACCATTACCGTTCCTCCGTAGAATACTGGCCAATGCCTATCTCATGTGAGCGTAAGGCGTAGGAACACTCGGGGTGTTGCTAACCGTCTCCTGGCTGCCTTCATAGGGACAAAGGCAATGAAGTCGTAGGGATAATCGAGAAATACTGAGTGGTCGGCATCGGCACCCTCCGGCTTTGACATCTCCAACCAGGGCTGCATGCGCTTTACGTCGAGATCAATCCAGCTCCATAGCAGACTATAGATAACGGCAACAATCGTAGGTAGAAACAAGTAACAGAAGTTTGCTAACGGCGGTATGTCATCTGCGGATTCGGAAAGTGCCAGTCCTCCTTTGGCTTGGCTCTGTTGTGCCAGTATCTCAACGATGACTGCAAGAAGGAAGGACGCAAAGGCGAAGGAGAAAAGCACAGGAGCACTGAGAGTCAATGGCTTCCACCCGTGTTTGTGAACTATTGGATATGTTAGTTCGTGGCATTCGACTTTCGGTTCATCTCCATATTCGGTATAACCTGAATCAAGACTGCACTCGCTGTCTCGTGAGCTATGGAACACGAAGGGCGACCAAGTCTTTCGACTCTGCTTCTCAGGTGAGCCATCTTGGCCTCCGAGAAGCCGAGTCTCATGGACTTCGGGTCCCTTGATGCCCATGGCCTCGGTGGACAACGGCCGTAGACTGTAAAGGAGGGGAACGGAAGGACCCTCAACTGTTCTCGGTTGCGTGTTTATGTGGCTCAGTTGATGAGAGCTCGACTAAAAGACTCAATGACCCTTGACCCTTGACAAGCAAAGACTTGAAAGAAACCCCTTCAAAACCAGATCGAGTAACAAAGGAAACAAGGCAAGAAAGAAAATAAGGGAGAGCGAGATGAAGGAACTCAGGTCAGACAGCCTCTGTCCCTGGGAGACGCAGCACCTTAAGGGAACGGAACTGACAGACTGAACCCGACAGCGTGGGTCGCCGAAACAGGCCAAGAGGTTAACTTGCTACCAACAGCATAATGTTCAGCGCGGCAACTTGTCGATGCGCATGATTTTGAGCCGTTCCTGGCCTCGAATACTACATCGCGCCAACAGGACGTGATGGCATCCAGGGATCGTGCACCAAGTTGGTGTTCGACGTGGGCCCGCGGTCATGGGTATTGAGGAATGGGAGGTGATGGCTAAGCGCTGGAGAGATGATCGAGGGGCCGCGGCCCTGCGGGGGGCTAGACGAAGACTTAGAATGCCTTGCCACTGCTGAGCCTCTTACACATTCATTACTTTAGTGATCAGACTCCGCTTTCATCTTCTCGTATCATTTCCAGTCTGCCTTTCCAATTGCTTCGTTTCACAGACTCCGTGAGTTGGCAGAGTGTTGGGCTCACATAGCATGAAGTGGACGAAGAATGTGAGAAGGTTGACAGGGGTATAGCACTCTGTCTGCAGGGACAAATTGGGTTGCAGTGAACCATCAGGATTAGCCGCCGGGCGCGAACGTCTCATTGGAGCGCTGAGAATAGAGGTGGGCCATCGATTTATCCCGGCAACTGCACCACTCTTCCAAGCGAGTTGTGCAATTGTGCAACATCAAGATGAATCTTCTCTCGGTGCCTTGATGAGCTTGTGCAAATCCCCAATTGGATACGGGCGAGTCTCATTGAAGACAATTCAGCGGTTTTGGTCAAGTGAAGTCATAAGGTGTGTTGGGGAGGCCCGGACGGCGTCGTAGTCGACCGCGTCGCACGGAGCACGGAGCCCCGCCTGCTCCGAAAGGGACCCTGCATGTGGGGCCGAGCAGTCGGCCGGTCGTCACAGCCTCCCCATAATGTTCGACCCTATCTATGATAGCAAGCCTTCGTCTGCTCCCCTTGAAGAAATGACTGAGTAGAATATTTTCAATGCACTGACAGAAAATTAATCTTAATATTGCGGCTTTGCTGTTGCGGCTGAGTACGGGCCATCTGCGTGACAGTCAGTCGCTTCAGTCTTTGTACAACGGGCCGTCCACCCATTTTAGCACTAAACGGGTAGGATATTTTGCGGAATTCTCGGGCAAGTTGTCGATTATACCCATGACTTCACTTCTGACCTTCTTTGTCCCCGGATCCTCCAATCTTACATGACGCACGGTGTCTTAATTCATGCATGCATCTGGTGTAAATCAACTTCGTAAGTAGAGTTGCCAACAAATCAGCAGCCAAGAAGCTTCAAGAACTCGGCGCTGAGATAGTTTGCGTAAATTCACCAGCCCTTCGGAAACTATTTCCAAAGCTACGTTGGCGTTGGTTCATCCCCAAGTCGCTGCATTCTCCATGCCGTGCGGACACGAATGATATGAACAGCCTCGGCCTTCTTCTACATCACTTACACATGTCCAATAGATATGGTGTCGAGCCGCATTCCAGTGAAGTTGCATCTTTTGGTAGTCCGAGAGTTATTCTCAAGCTTCCCCGCCTGACAGGATTCAGTAAAATGTACCTTCATGTCTCTTAGAGTTGGTGTGTGACGTAATCGTACATTTTCTGAGGGATGAGAAAACACCAGACCCTTTGCCTGTGTTCCCTGTAGTAAGCCGTGCGAAAAACACGATACTTGACCGGAGTCTTGTGATTTTATTACTTAAGGCGTGTGGTTTGCGAGATTTATGGCACGCTTGTTATAGTTAAGAGATATATATTGTCTGTCACTGCCCTAGGTTCACTCTGTAACTCATCCCGCTGAGGCTAATGGCTCGTGGCAAGCACCGCTCACTACGGACCGTTCACCTTCTTATAATGCTGCGTAAAATCATACCTCACATCAAAGCTCCCCATCATCAACTCCCTCATAAACACCGGGTCCTTCCCAGCGCGCACACACATCTGCATGAACCCATCCCTCTCCAGCCTCGTGGCCGGGTCCGCATCCGATACCCTCCGAAAGTTCTCCTGCGATATCGGGTCAATAATCGTCCTCCACTTGTCCCTCCTCTTCTCGCTGTACAGATCGAGTATGCTCTCATTCGCCACTCCGTCCCAGATCCCCGCGAGGCAGTCGTACAAGCCGCCGACGTCGACGAACCCGCCCGTGATTCCCAGACCGCCCCAGGGGTTACACAAGTGCGCCGCGTCGGCCGCCAGCATGAACCGACCGACGCGGAACTGCGGGGCACACCGCTGGTGCATCTTGTACGGGGCAAAGTTGACCACGTTGTACTCGTCAGGCTCGGGGTGTCCCGGCAACATCGTCTTGAACTTCTCCCGCTGGCGCGCCTTCAATTCCTCGTGTGAGAGGTTCGACTCCTCGCCATAGGTCACGCGGTACAGGCCGTCGTTGGTAATCTTGGCCGCCATGAAGAAGTGCTCGGGATGGATGATGAAGTTGGCGTCGTCGAATCCAAACTTTCCGGCAAAATCGTAGTACGTGTTCGTCGCGACGATTTGCTGATCCCACGTCCAGCCCGGGTACTCGTCGCCGAAAAGCCCCTTTCGAACGGCGCTGTTGGCGCCGTCGCATCCGACAATGTAGTCGGCCTCGATCCGCTTCTTCCCCTCGGGAGTTTCGACGTCGACCCAGGCGCGGGTTTCTTCCTGTCCGAGGCCAACCACACGGTGTTCCCAGCTGATGGTTCCGTTGTACTTCTCCAAGAACTCGTCGAGCATGACCTGGTCGAGTTCCTGCAGTGCGAGACACGTAGTCCGCAGGTCTTCGCCGTTGGCATCGCGTAGCACTCCCGAATCGAACCCGGTGATGAGGCTGTGGTCGTCAAGTCGACGCCATACAAACTTGTTCACCGTCATGCCGCGACGTCGAATCTCGTCCAGAACCCCTGCTCGCTTGAGATCGGGTATGGCTGCGGGACCGTAGTGGGCGGCGCGCGGTTGCTGATCGAGGTGGTCCTGAGCCTCTAGGATGTGAACCGGAATGCCATGCTTGGACAGGAGCAGGGCGAGAAGTAGGCCAGAGGGGCCAGCTCCGACGATCACGACCTGTTCTTTATGTTAATACGCCATTCGTCTGGAAAGGTTGGAGACCGTACATTGCTGAACGGGCGGCTCATCTTTGGCTCTGAATTTGCTCAATCAATCATTACAAGCCTGCAGTGAAACGACGAGAGAGTCCACAATCTTCATAGGGGCTGCGACTGTTATGGGACACGAGTCAACCCCGCAACGGATTCGCATCGCGCCGGACTTGTTGCCAGTAATCCGTCGATGCAACGGTACTTTTCCCCATCGCCGGGGTGCTAGCCGAGGATGTCCCCATCTGCTCCATTTTACGGGCAGACTTCGACCCCGCAGACGTCACCCCGCGAGCGACCGAACTGACAGGCGGAACGATGAAGGGCACACGCGGGGTTAAAGATTCGGCAGATCATTTTTAGATTGAATGGAAGCAATTTAGATCGGAGGGGTTCCCGTTAGACTTTGCGCTAAACCTGCACGTCGCAACTGTCCAACGGGATAGTTGTAAATCTCACGTTATATAGCCTCTCAAGAAATAATAGATAACTTTCTTGCGTGAGGGTTGCGTCGTCATGTATCTCCAAGTCCCGTCACGTGGGACATGATCCTGGTCAGTTACAAGACTTCGGCAGCGAAGGAAACCCGTTGTGAGCCAGCTCAAAAAGGTAGAATGTCATGTCAGGGAGATTGTTAGCCTAGTTGGTCTGCTCATCTAACCTATTGGATGCTATAAACGAATGTTGGCGGATAATAGCGCCCCGATGCAGGTGGAAGCATCGCAGAGCTCCGGCAACTGCCCGATGCTATACCGGGGTCGACCGGCCCCACAATGGCAAAAAAGCAGCGGCACCAATTCCGGTGAGACTTATTCGCCCTTACCGGGTATTGCTGGTTATAAACGATCGTAGAATGTACATTCCGAGCCAAATTTCTCAGGCCTTCTACCTCCCTGGGATTCGCTAGATTGGCATCAATTCATATCCCGCGGACTGTTTCATTTCTGAGTACGCGAGTGTGCGGGAATGGTTCGCCAGAACCTGTAGCTTAGTAACAGACAACACGTTCGTTCGATGTTATGGACAGCGTACAGAGAGTCAGTGGTATGGAAAGCGGAAGGGAATCAATTTGATCGAGCAAAGCGGCGTTGGAAGAAGCGAATTGGTAATTGGGAGACTTTTGCAGCTGTGGTACTTGCTCTTCTCCCATTGCTCCATGTCGTCATTCCTACTTGCTGAAGACCTGTTGACACGGCTGATTCACCGAATTTATATCACTGCTTAACACTTGAATAGTCACACCAGAATATGCTCCAGTACTCTCAGAGCTATTTTAGCCCTGTGTGTTGGCAGCATTCAAATGACATTAGAACAATGTTCAGTATTTTTCCACCTAGTTGTTGGACAAGAGTACACAAAAAGCCGTATAGGGAAAATTCCATCCAAATTCGGACAGAAAATCCCGCGGAAGCTAAGGCAACTACTTGCTCGACGCCTTCCAATCATTTGAATGGCGCATGATAAGTCAAACAGGCCCGTAATCGCAAAGTAAGCATATCCGACCCGGGGAGCAACCACTGTGATTTGGGATCGGTTCTGGCGTGAAGACGCCGACTTTGTGCTGACACAGCGTCGGCTTGTCTCTTCATCTCGTTCTTTCTTCCTGTCCCCAGATATGCAGTTTCATCCTCAACGAATCCCTACCGCGGCTCTTCTCGCGGCTTAGCTTAGCACCTCTCATATCACAACGTGATTGGAAATTGTGTTGGTTCGACAGCCTCTGCGGCAAATGAATGATGACTTGAATTACGCGCTGATTTCAATTGTATCGCCTTGCTCGTGACCCAATTCAACTTTCCGACGTTCTCACTGTTCCCTTGTCTCTCAGTTGACTCATCTCATCGCGCACGGAAGGAGGGGCTAAGATGCTTGGTGTTGAATTTGTTTCAACAAATCGTGCTTTATTCTGCTGGTATAATAGCATTCTTCCGCTTTGCCGGGGCACGACTTTTTCCTGGCCCTTTTCACCCTTCATACTGATTGTTCCCGTGTCTCTTCGACGACTAGGGGATGTGATGCGACAAATGAAAATAGATGATGTAAAAAAAGACTCTTAAGATAATGAGATGAAGAAAAGAAATTGAGTTACCAGTTAAACAATACATAAAAGCCTTGGGTAGACTCCTGAAGCCCCGTCGGGAATATATATAATATGACCATCATATATACAGGCCATCTATTCAGCCAGAGAAGTGAAATGTTTTTGATCGGATAGTGGGATAGTGAGGTTGGAGGGAGCGAAGTGTCAAAAAGAGAATAAAAGAGGTCGACATTTTCGAAAAACTGGCTGATTTGGCTCTTGACTATCCAACTTCCGTTGTCGTAAAGCGAAGGCATCATGCGCTTTGTTCCCCCCATTTTTGCTTTGTTTTGATACTTCGGGATTAATCAACGCACGCCCAACACGTCCTTGCAGCCCACTCATAACCGGGCAGCCTCGAAACCCGAACTCTCGGAACACGCTTACGAGATGGTAAGCACCATGGGACCGGCCACAATGATGTCATCGGTGAGCGTGCCAGCCATGGGGGCGTTGTTCGTGAGGGAAAGGTAGACGACGCCGCTGAGACCCTGGGGAACGACGCAGCCCTGCTGAGGGGTGAAGGGAGTGAAGGCAGTTCCACCGGGTTGGAGACCGCCGGTGGTGAAGGCGCAAGCCTTGGCCTGAGGTGCAGCATCGGACTGGAGCATGATAGGAGCGCCAATGGCGACGGCCTTGGGGTCGGCGGGAGCGGTCATGGTCAACTTGGGGAAGGGCTGCAGAGCCAAGTTGGAGCCCTGGGGGCAGGAGACGATGAAGGGTGCGGCCAGAGAGAAGACGGCGCGGACACCGAGGGGGGCGTCGAAAGCCTGGGGGATGGAGATCTGCTTGGAGGCGGCACGGATGAAGGTCTGGTGGCGGGCCTCAATGGTGAGGATAGAGCCGGCAGCGCCAAGGATGGCCTTGTCCTTCACGAGAGGAGCGGCACCGAGGTAAGCAGAAACACCAACGTTCTCGAGAACACCAGCGGTTGCGACCATGCCAGCCGCATTCGTGAAGCCGAAGTTGTACTGGCAGGGCTGTACTGGCTGGGTGCCGGCCTGGGCGATGGCGGATTGCAGGAAGGAGACGTGAGACAATTCAGTAGCACCGACTTGTTGGAGGTCATTGACTTGCTCGTTGGACAGACCGAGGGCCTGGAAGTCCTGGGCGGGGAACTTCTGGAAGCCTTGCTGGTAGAAGGTTCCCTCGAGCCATTCTAGAGTGAGGGCGCTGCGAAATTCGTGTTAGTCCCGGCTCCTGTAGCTTCCACCCACCACCATCTCCCAGTCCGACTCACAATTGCAAGATATCAATATCCGTCAATCCAGCAGCCCCAGCTCCAGCCTGTTGCCTCTTGGCAAGGTCGTAGATCTTCATCTGCTCGGCGTTCAACTTGGGGCCCAGGGGGGCGGCGGTGGCCACTGCGGCCAGGCAGGCGACAAGAACGGACTTCATTGTGGAAGGCATGGTTGATTAGGTTGTGTGATTTTAGCTTTGCTCGCCCTATACTTTCTTTTCCTGTTCGATTGGCTGGTCTCCCGGAGCAGATTTTCGGATATAAGATGGGTCGATCGGTGCCACCTGGGACGGTCGATGAAGTGAAAGATTAAAAGGGGGTATTAAGAATGTTGTCCGAGGGAGTGACAGGGCGAAGTAGGTCTCGAAGGGAAAGGAAAGTGTAAGCAAAACCGGTGGACCAGGAAAGCAGACCAGCGCTTTTGGAAGTTTAAAGAAATTGACACACGGTGAACGGAATAGAGAGAAAAGAAGAGAAGGGGGCGCGAATAAGATGGTGAGGGGGGGAAACAAGCGAGCAATAAAGACGCTTCACTTTGGCCATAGCATCTTGCCGCTCCCCCATGGCGTATCTCGCCTTGCACACACGCATGGCCCTTCTCATTTTCTGCTACTCGGGAGGGGTCGGATCGACTTGGGTCCTTGCTGGGGATTGTTTGCGGCAAGCTTTCTTTCCGTCGTCGGTTCACACGGGAGCCCACAATGCGGGTAACAAGATTACGCTCGACCACAAAGCTTCACACCCGACAGGGGTGCAGGGTACAGTGAGCAGGAGCTTGCATTTGGTGTTGGTGCTGGTACTGAGGGAGAGTCCAGGGCAAGCCGCAACAAATGCAGCGCTTGCCTGGAAGAGCGTGTGTGCGCGCGCATGCGGTGCGTATTGGAAGACGGGAAAGGGGATCTAGCGGGCAAGCCAAGTCAAGGGTTGGATGGTACCCCTTGCCAATGGCGTAGAAGGGTGTGCATGGAGAAAGAGAACATGGTGGAAAGTTCAGATGGCAGCGAGACCTTGCCTGTCCTCCGCATGGCCCAGGAACGAGGCAGGAGATTGAGCGAGTGGGATGGAGAGGTGTGAGTGAGAGTACCTATCCGTGAACGAGGGAAAGGCAAGGCCAAGCAGCGTGGGCAGGTGTAGCAGGTGCACCAGTAAGGGCTACGGAGTAGGTACTCTTTGCATGTTTCGTTTCGCTGCGGTCCAAACAAGCTCAACGAATCGGCAGAGACTCGACGGCTAAAAGCACCAATCAGAGAGCACAATAAGCAGAAAGAGGGGCCAGATGGGATTGGGCAAGGAACTAGATCAACTCCTTAGATTGGGATGAAGCCCGATTCCAGATGCTGCAGCGACCCCCTGCCGAGCTTGTTTTTGCGCTTCTTTTTGACTTTGACTTTGTGTATTGCAAGGGTCCTGCGAGCAGTGACCCCACCGGGAGTCCTGGGGCAGAAGGGGGTTTCTGAGGGCCGTTGAGGAGGCCAAGAGGTGAATGTGAATGTACACAAAGGCCCCCTCGCTCGCCACTGTTTTGGCATTGCAGCCGAACCAACTTTGTTGCATCGTGACCCCCAGCCAAGACTAGGTAGACGTCGACCCGGGTCACGGACGGGCCGTCGACCGAAACCATTGTGATACGTCTCCCACGTCAGAAACCCCGGTCCGTGAACGCCCGGACCACCCTGTCACTGGTGCCTTCCGTGGTGATTGATTGGCCGCCGCCCGGGTGGAGCCTCTCCCTGCAAAACCTCGCTGGGCTTAGCGCGGGTACGTACCCAGGCATCTGCAGGAACGTTCTCTCGGTAACGTCTCTTTCCACTGCTCAACCTCGCTTTCCCCTTTCCGCTTTCTAAGCCGCCTTGCTTTGCTTCGACTTTCCGTGCCGGTCTGTTGGAGCCGTCCATCCCACAACGCCAAGGCCAGACGACCACGCACCCTAACCCATCTGACTGCTTGCATTTATCCAACCCCCGGCGCCGTATACCGCTGCGATCCTGCGATAAGGAGACGATGCTCATTTGCACAGCAATCGACACCTTCGGACGTTGCCAACTGTATGAGGAGAAATCTAGGATTCTAGATCCTCCTGTCGTTGCTAGATAAGGATGTAACGCACCATTTGCTTAGGACTATGATCTGCGAGCCGCGGCTGCGAGAGGCTATCTGTATTGCCTCCTCAATCACAGTTCATGATCTTGACAGCCGGAGCGCTGGGCTCGATCGGCCTCTTAGGCATCCTCAGCTGGAAAAGCTAGGTAGACAGTTGGGCTGACTTGAGGATTGCTTGCTTGCTTGCTTTCTGACCTGGCAAGGCCATGCTAGGTCTTGAGATACGAAAGACTAGCAGGACACGCTCGTGATCTGGCTTTCGTGGAAACGACCGGAGAGCAACCCCAGATCTAGACTAACGCCTCTCGCAGCTCACTATCAAACGGCCGTCCCAATCTCAAGGCCTACCACAAGAGGACGATTCTGCAACCAAAGCACTGACCTCGTCACCTCATGGTCAGCGTGGTTTCCGGCCTGGTACTGATTCCAAACCGCCTAAATACACTAGTGACTTAAGCTTATCGACAATGGGGCACATTGAGCCTCTCCCGCGGGCTGCCTCGGCGGAGACTAACACATCCAGTGTTCCTCGCGTGTGTGGAAAACATCAGACTCGGAATATTTACTAAGCGGCATCTGATAGCTGGGCCCAAACATGCTCTCTTGCCACATCGGTCCTTTATCAGGCCACGTGATCCAAGTCTCGACTTTTCATCAGTTCAATCTTCTTCCTTCTTTTAGTCCATCCCAACGATTCGACACCGGATGGTCGCTAACCACTCAGCCAGACCTGTTCTCCCACGGCTCATTTCGGCAAGCCAAGACCTTGCAGGGCTTACAAACCGTTTCAAAAGCCTTTGGATGCTCAAAACCATTCTTTTCGTCCCAAATCCCCATCCATGAGCCAAGAGATAGGGAACCCATCCCATTTCTCTCTTGCCCAGGGGCCTGTCTGGACCGCCTCGAGCAGGCGCTCATTCCGTCTACCCGTGACCCGAGTCGTGTGGAAGTCACGCCCGCCACGCTCATCACTTCTCTCCATCACTCATCCCTACCCCACAGGAAAAACCTCTGAAAAGTCGCCCCTTTCGCAAGCTCACTCCTGTTATCAATCGTTTGAAACTTCGGCGCTGGCTCCAGTTTGCCTTGCCTCGACCAGTACTACATCATGACTCCGACATCGTTTACTAGCGTACACCATATGCACGCGTCTGACATAGCAAACTCAACCCCTTTGTCATCGCCTCTCTGCCGTGCCATCTACACTGCGTGTCGGGCGCAGTCCCACCTTGCGTGCAGTCTTCGGGCAACTAAGCATCTCGTTCAAGCCTTTGGAAACAACTTACTTTCCTTTGCCCCGCAGCCGTTTGGGCCATGTCTGCTCGGAAGGAAACGAGTAGAAGCAACTTTCCTCAGGTTCCAGCTTCTCGGTAAGTTATGCGCTCCGCCTGCAACGCCAACATGCCAAAGGTCTGTGGGAAAGTCCTGAAAAGGAAAGTCATCGGGGGCCCAGGAAACGTTAAGCAGCAGTCGACGAAGGCTCCGGTCTCTCGATCCTACGCGTGCCGGGCTTGGCTAATTCAAATCTTTCCTAATCCAACAGCTTGTCAAAGAGACATCTTCCACTCTGTCTATGTGATACAAGAAGATGATCGAGCCAGGCCCTACTGCTTCAATCCGACGAAAATTGAACCCCCCCGACGATCGCCGCCCAGATCGCACAGGACATCAGAGAGGCCAAGGGTTCCCTCTTCATCGGGGGTTACAATGCTTCCATTCACCTTTTGCTCTCACACATCACTGTACACTATTCTCCCGCAAACTTGCGGTGCAAGGTCGGACTAGAAACCTTGCCCAAGTTTCCCTACTCGTGCCACCCTTCAGTCAACGATCAGTTCCCTGTGGACACGGGAAGTTTCCCCATGCCAAGACGTCCACAAACGTTACGGAGACTCTTCTGCCGCCCTCTGACAGCACGTCTTTGACGATGGACGCAGCTTGTTCTCAAAGTTCTCGTCGAATATTCCGACACACCTGCGAATAGCATCGTATTCGCATAGTGTAGAGCGGCGTGTCTCTGAATATGCGGAGAACCACCTGGTCGCTGATTCTTAATGTAGAGCTCTCGAACGACGGCTTTTCATATTGCACCTCACTCTCTGATCTTGAATAGGCTCCTACCCCCCACCCCAACGGTCGTAATGGACTTGCCCTGTTTGCGTGCTCGTTCCGGGGCGTCATGATCGTGTGTCTCCGGTCCACTTGCGATTTCTGAAGCCATTCCGTGCCCCCCAGCCGCCTTCCCTTGCATGCGTCTCCACACCCCGATCCCCGGCCTAAGTCATCACGTCAAATTTCCAAACCGGCTCTCTTGTCAACCACCGCAGCTGAAACTCTACCGAGTTCCTACCCTGGAACCCACGCACCATAGGAGTCCAACCCACCGACTCTGCAACGCGGCGCAAGGGTAGCCTTGCTCCGGACAGAAGATGTATAACCTCTCAGGCGCTCTGCCTCTGCACCTGTCGGCTTGGTCACTCACGGTTGTCCGCGTACCTGGGCGATTCTTCTGCCATCAGAGAGTAATTGAGCGTGAAAGTGTGCAATTGGGTGTACCATTTTACTAGCTCATAGGCGCTATGTCTACTATTTCATCCACCACCCTTCTCTCAACTTCCAGCCTTTTGTGCTTAATGACTCATCCAGGGACGAAGATATAGTTGCTATTACTCCCATCTCACTCACAACGATTTGTCCCAACTCCCACTCAAACTTTTCTGCACCACTCATGATGCAACTCTGTTGATGGAAAAGCACCTTGTGCTTATCCGTCCCTCAGAAGCAATCAACTTGTGTCCTGCATAGGACAGCTTATATCAAGACACCTTTTTACAGAGCATAAGGGTTCAAAGACCGAATGGTCAAGCAACTGCTTCGGATTAGTACACATCTCCAGAGTTTAATAGATAGTGAACTTACGGTGGGCTCTTGGACAGATCCGTCTTGAGAATCACAGGAACTCTGCTCATCTCCGTAACGTCCTGAATGTACTCTCCTCCCTCCTCACGGAGCTTGAAAAGCTTGAGGTACTTCTCCTTGTTCGACAGGCGGGCCTCGGGGGCCTCGGGCGCGGGAACCTTGGAGTCGGACCTGGTGCGTTGCAGTGGCTTAGCGTCGGAGCGGGTCGGCGAGCCGGGGACGCTTTGTGTGGGTCTCTCAGCCAATGAAGCTCCAGCCATGGCCTCGGTGATATCCGAAGCATTGTCATCATCGTCGTCGAAGAGGGCATCGACGTCATCAGTAGAGATGGTGCCTGTCTCCGTCTGTTTACGCGCAGCCTCCTCTCTCTCCTTCTTGGCACGCTCTGCAGCCTCTGCTTGACGAGCAGCAGCTTGAGCGTTGGCGTTTCTGACAGACGCAGCAGCCTTAGGACGCTCGTCCTCAGGTACGTAGGCGGAGCTCGGCACACCCTTCTCCCAGTAGAGCTCAAGAACTCTCTTCTCCTTTCTGAACTCAGCCTTCTTGAGCGGCAGCTGATCGCAGTGCACACGTTTCTCGAAGCCCCATTCGGGAATGAGAACGTCAAATGCCGACTCATAGACGCAGAGGACGATGCCTTCTGTGATGAGATCGCCGTTCACCTGCTGGCGCTTCTTGTCCATTTCGCGACAAGACTCAATGTGAATGCTCTGTTCCTGAGCATTCTGCGCCGAGTCCTTCTTGGTGTTGCAAGACTCAATGGTCTTGACCAGGCTCTCCAGTTCTTCCGTGTACTCAATCTTACCTTCCGAGAGGATAGATTCGAGTTGTCGGTGGACAATGATGTCGGCGTAGCGCCTCGTGGGGCTAGTGAAATGAGTGTAC